TCTTAAAAAAAATGAAATTTTGATAGAAATATTATTTAAAACAATATTTATTGATGCCACAATTTTAATAGGGAATCTAACTATATTTGAATAAGCAGAAATACCTCCAAGCAATTATTTTCAATTTCAATTCKTCGCCTATTTGTTGGATAAAATTGCTTAGAGTTTTTCGATTTTGATTTGGATGAGGGAACGAGTGGGTCACAATGTTGTTCTTGTTGTTATAGTGACCACAAATGCTGTCCGTGAAGAGTCAAGAGGCGAGATTGAAGAGCGGAGAGTCGAGAGTTTGCTGGTCTGATTTTTGGCTTTTGTTTTGAAATCAGTTTCTATGCAGTTTATTTGCATGTGGCAGCTCGATGCGTGGCAGCAACCATTTTGCAGGTGTATCGATAAAATGTCAGGCGCAATAGCAGCCGCAACCAACATTGACAACAACAGACGACAAGGCAATTTAAATACTAACATGTGTACGAAAAGAGTCGGCAGACAGCGGGCGGTGGAGCGGAGCCAAGTGGCATGAGTGGCGAGCTGGAGTCGTGGGAGAGGGGCTGCGTCTGTGGCTGCTGCTGATGTCGACACACAATTAACTTGAAAATACTCCAAGCCATGTTAAGTGTCAATTAGCTGGCATCAGCTAAGCGCCATGCATACGAAATCAACCAAAATGTAATCAAGAAATATTATTTACATTTTACACAACGGCGCGAGCGAGGTATTTGATGATTTTCAGAAACTTTGGGATAAACTATCAAGTACAGCGTGGATTGAAAAATTTATTAGCTGGAAGTTCAAGGCCTTAAGCCGCAACTTTGGCAAATATTTAACATTCACATGTGCCAGCACCGCACTCAAAATAGTTTTTAGCTTTGCTAAGCTGGGCAGATAAGGTTTGCCCCCCTGCACACGTAGGCCATTGAGAAATCAATGCTGGCGCTGTGCCCCCTGGCGTTGAACTCACATAATTTGCCAGCATTTCATCTAATAAATGAAATTGATTTTGGCCAGCCGCACTAACCAAAAATGGGCAACCGCAATAAACGAAATCGAGAATCAGTAAAAATCAAAATGTGAATAGGTAAAACATGAATGCCCAAATATATTATGCAGCCACAAACAATAAACGTGGCTAACAAAAATGACAGCAACAAAAAAGTTGAAACAGGAAAAATCGTGTTCAAGTGCCACGTTTGGTCGTCTGATCGACGGGACGGCAGCATTGGGTGCCAACTGTCGCTTGGCTAGGGCCATGCTTCACGTCCCCATGCCCAATGCCCCACGCCCCCTCTTGTCACTTTTCCAGCCCGCCTCGACTGTCTGGCAGGCTTGTGCAAACAAAATGTGGTTGCTGCTTGTGTTTTTACAGGCTCTGACAATATTGCAACGTGAAAGAACAACAAACAAATGCCGCCCCTACATGAATATTTGTCAGGGCCTGCGCCGCTGTCAACGGCACGTAAACAATTGCCAGACCAATTTCTGGAATGGGACGCGAACGGGCAACGGGCATCTCGTTTGCATGCCACTGCGCCCAATCGGGTTTGCCCAATTGAAGGTATTAAGGACAAGCAGAAGAAGAAAGCAATGCAGATGCAGCAAGGAGTAAAATGGCACTAACCGTGCAATAATCATAACAATAACAACTGCAAACCAAAGGCTGGCCACAATGTTGCTGCAGCAACGGTGGCAACAGTTGCCAGCAATATCAGCGATAAAAGTTGTAGCAATTATCATTTGAAAGTGCATTGTTACAGTTGTCAGAAGCGGCGCTCAAGTGGCTGCTACGGCAGCAACATTACCAGCAACAGCAGCAGCAGCAGCAGCAGCCGGCAGCAGCAGAAACAATGCGAGACACGACAGCAACAGCAACAGCAAGAGCAGCTCGTGCCGGCAACAGCCACAACGACAACAACAACAACAGCAATCGCAACAAACAACTTGTCTACGTCAGCACTGTGAGAATTAATATGCAGAAACTGCTGCAATTGCAATTTGTTGTAAGCGCTTGAAGAAACAATGAGGATGACGCCGCCGTTGAAGAAATATTTTACATATTGTGGCATAAATTTCCATGATTATCGTTGAAGAATATCAATTAGCTGCGCGCATTTCAATAGCTCGCCCAAGCCATTGTCTAATGTGGAGCAGGCGCACATAATGAGTTATAGAATTGTCATTCACATGCGATTAAATTGAATGAATTATGGTTAAGTCAACGCTGCATTTCAGCACTGCGGCTTGAATAACAAATGCGCATTAGCGCATTCGATAGCTCTGTGATGGATGCGACGAGATTCCGTGGAAAGAAAGCTAAGCGAAGGCGGCAGCCAAAATAAATCAAGCTAATTATTTATTTAGACAACTTTTGATATGAGAAATCGATCGCATTGGAGTATTTCTAAGTAATATTTGTAGCAGTTCAATAACATTGGATTTCTCTGACAAATTGTCCAGCTTTAGTTCCTTTATATGATAGTAAAACTGGGATATCATAGAAAGAAATTGTTAGTTATATTGTATATAATGAAGATAGTATTGATAATATTATACAACTTTAACGTTTCTAGAAATTCGAAAATATCCAATGTCATTAAGTCGAAAAAAATATAAAAAATGAAAATGTATNGAAGTATTTTATCAATATTTGTTAAAATTCAGCTGGTCATAGTATGTCGCTTTTAATTAACAAAGAAAAATATAAAATATATTATAAGAGCTCTACTCTAAAACTTCTTTGGCAACCTTGAGAAATATGGAATGAAATTAAGCTTCAGCTATCTAGCCAGAGTTGTCAAAACAATTAAAGCAATTAACCTGATACCAAAATGTGGAGCTGTGTGCGTTTTAATATTGCAGCCACATAAATCTTTTCATTAAAGTTCAATTAATCAAGAGCTTCCTGCCATAGCGCATAAATCTCATAGCGCACAAAGTGCAGCAAGAGTAGCAGACAACAGCTAGAGATACAATTAGCAATGCAGTCAAGGGCGCACACGCACACACGCACAGACACACACACAAACACACATTGCCGTTCCAGCTATTTGTCACCATTTTGTGGGACGCACACACAGGCCAAGCAAATGTGCAATGTGTTGTACTTACAACGATATTTGCCACGCCCACAGCCTATGGCACCGTGCGCTGGCTGCCGCCCACAGTCCACAGTGCTGGCCGGACAGGTAATAACAGCGTCTGCCAGCAAATATTTACATTGGAGATGCGCACGTGACCAGCTCGTGAGCTCGTGAGCTCGTGGCAGTCACGCCAGCAGCTCAGGCACGCACACGTGCTATGACTGACAGAGTGCAGCCAGCTCGTTGCACTCTGCAGCTACTCTGCAGCTTGCATCTCTGCTCGAGSMWTCACTGGGCTGGGCTGACCACCAAGCGTTTTGCAGCCAAGTTAAACAGAACTCCAGAAGGGACCGAGACAATGTCCTTGGTCAGGTGCACTGCATGCCATGGGCGTGGCTGTCGAGCGGTGGGCGTGCTGTTTGTGCTTCTGCTGGGCAATTAACAAGCAATAAAAGCAAGCAGCAGGCAGCTGGCAGCGGGCACCAGGCAGCGTTGATAAATGTTTTGTCACTTAACAAAAGTGCCAGGCATGCAATTAAGAAAAATAGATTTCGTAATGCCCAATTGAATTTAACTACAGACTGATTGACTGACAGCGGTGGGCGGGGCGGGGGTGGCACGTCTTGTGGGCACGTCGTTTGCTTGAACTTTTGCCAAAAATGAAAAAGTTCGATTCGCTTGCACTTTGCAGCCCAAATGCGGCAGTCAACACCTGAGCAACTTTTTGTTGAGTTTATGAATGGAAACTGAGTCAGCAGAAGGCGGCAGTCAGCAGCCAGCAGCCAGCAGCCAGCAGCCAAAGGCAGCCAAAGGCAGCGTGGGTGGTCGCCAACTCTAAATGCAAATTAAAAAGCCAAAGCCAAAGCCAAATGCAAGTGCAAAAAAGTGTTTCACGACTTACGGGCGCATTCATTGACTGCAAATCGAAACGTGCGCCAGCCACGCCAACGCCAACGCCAACGCCAAAGAGACAACTGTAACGGAGTAACGGAGTGCGACGGCAACGGCGGGAGCGGCGTCAAAGCCAAAGTGACGCCAACGCCATTGACAATTACCAGCTGCTGGCCTCCTGACTACCTGACTGCCTCTTTGGCAAGGTTATGGCCCAGAGCCGCGCAAATATTTGGCATGCCAAGCGACAAAAACAGAGAGAACAAAAATGTATATAACATTGCATTACGCATACGCAATGTACGCCCAGGCAAATTTCAACAAAGGAAATTACTGAGTGAGAAAAATAAATTGAAATATGCGGACCAAGCGGCTTACTTATGACGAATCCACAGTGCACAGTGGTCATCAAATGCAATTTAATATTTTCGTTGCATGTTTAACTCGTCTACAATATAATAATTTACTATTCTCTAATACATATATTTATTAAAACACATACATATATATGTATATTATAAAAAAAAAACTTAAAAAAAACAAATTTTTGTAAATATTTTCGCTTCACTGTGCGTAGGTAGTGTTAATATTTTACATAGTCACCCCACAGTTTAAAATAATTGCCTTTGGGTGGTCGCACTCCCGCACTCCCCGCTCCGTATCAGCCCATAAATGCTGTACTCCAGTGCGCCCCGATGGGAATCTTGAATGGCCATCGCAGCTAAATGTCACATGCATATAAGCGGAATTATGACAAGCATTTTAACGACTGCCACTGATAGGCGCCTGTGGGCTGGGCGATATGGCAACGCCGCGGCTTACGCTGCCCGTAAGCCTATAAAAACGAACGCGAAATTGAAACCCAAACAACGAAGCCTCCGCAACAGCATCAGACCACGCCGCCAACCGCTGGCGAAATGAAAATGCGACAAACGCATGGCCGATGTACGTGAGATTGCGCCTCTGTTAATTGGCAAAAATTGGCCAAGTTCGCCAGGGAGGGGAATACGAGAAGGAGCCGAGCAGTGAGGCCACAGGATACAGAGCAGCGGCAGCAGATAGGAGGCGACCGGGCAACTTCGCTCTGGCATGTACATAAGTATTTATGCGATAATGCGTAAATTTTAATGAAAAGCAAAAAAATGAAGGCAAAAGAAAGAAAAAGCAAAATATTTGCTTTGCGGCCCCCGTAAAGTATGCTGGCGCAGGAGCCGGGCCATCCGCAGCGCGTCTGTGCAATCGCCTGAAAGTTGATTTAATGAAGATTTCATAAAATGGCGTCGCCGTCAAGTGTCTGACATGTGGAAATCTGCGAATTTATGTGGCACGCACGTGCGCTGCGGTCTAGTCATGAGGCTGCTGCGCCATCCAGCGTTGCTTTAATTGAGTGGATCTGCTAAGAGCTTCACGGCAAAGGCGAGTGAAATGAGATGTAAAACTAAACAAAAAAGAAAGAACTGTATGCACAGCTAAGTAATCTGCAGCTGACGTTCCATCTCAAGTTTCAGGAGTTCCCTTTGGCGTCGCTGGGCGGCCCTATTGTCGATGTACATCTGCAACTCCTGGGGCGGCTTAAAGATAGTCCTGTGAAACGGAAAACTTCATAAGTGGTGAAGAAATCATAGTTCGATAGGCCAAAAGCAAATTGCCTTATAAAGCAAACTCTATGGGAATCTCTGCTAGCTATAATACTCACTCGCATTTGCCGCAAATGGGAGTATACTTGCAAAAGACTGAAATGGTCAAAGCAGGCATAGGTAAAAGGATGCAAGGCTTAGGCTGCAAGGAGACTACCCACCCGTCAGGCAGCAGCTGCACACAAATCCCATTTCGACGAGCTTGCTATGGCAGAAGCACATTGCGCGCAGATCCGCTTGGGGCTGAATCGGGTAATTAAGATGCTGGCGCACATCGGGCGAGGCTAGAAACAGGCCAAGCAGGACCCCGCTGAGGGTGTCAAAGTTGCTGGTCGAAAAGTAATAGCCGCCGGTTATGTCAGCTGCATGCCGCATCATGTACGACGACTCCAGCTCCAGGGCGCACACATCAATGACCACGCCCATTCTGGCCGCGACCTGAAAGACATTCATTTGCATAGCGGCCAAAGGTATCGGCGGCTCCTTAGAGCCGGTGACAATCAGAATGCGACCACGGATATGCGCGACTTTGGCGACCTCACGTCGACAGCGACTTAGGTAACTTAGGACCATGGCCACGGTGCCAGGCAGCAGAGCAGTCACCGTCTGTTCCTCCTCCGCTTTGGTTTGGCGCTTCATCACGGTTATATCCTGAGATATCAGGTTAAACAGCCTCAGCCTGGTGAGACTCTCCACAACGGCCAGCTCCTCCAGCTGGGAGTCGTTGTCCTTCGTCGGGTCTATCAGCTTTTCGGGATAGATGACATTACTGCAAACGATTGGCCATTAGACCGTCGCATCGCACTCGATCCCTTCGACTTACACGGCATAGCTGGAGCAGGACCATATGACCAAATCGTTCTCGCTGCTCTGCAGCAGGTGCGCGTTGCCGAACATGGTGATAGAGCACACAACCTTCGTGAAGAGGTCAAGGTCACGCTTCACATAGCTCTGATTGGCATCATAGTCCACAACGATGATCAGCATGTTCTTCTCCGGCAGCCCTGTGTGGCAGCAGATCTTCTTACCTTCCGGCTAGTGTGACAAATATATGTATATACAGCTCACCTGAGCCCCTGAGTGATCTGCGGCACCCGTGTCTAAGATGCTTGCGTTGCTGCTGAGCATCCATTTTACGAAACTGATTTCGCTCAACTCAAACAATAGCTCCAGCTGCGACAGTTGATAGTTCCGAGCATTAACTAATGTCCTTTAATTTATCAGTAAAGGTCTCGATTGCTGGGATTTCAATTCACATTAAAGTCAGTTTGACAAAGGCTTCAAGGTWTCAATTTTAAATTCAGACTCAAATTCCAGATAAACAATTTAGATATTTCACTACTTATTTAAATTGCTTGGTCGATTTAACTGACTGTAATTTTAATCACTTAGCCAAGAAGTCGTAATCCGTTTATTAGCATATGTTGAGGATCGTTGCATGAGACACCTCATCTGCATGCGCCTAGAATCACAATTGAACAATGCATTGTTACAACATGACCACACACAAGCATTTTCGCGCCCGGGCATGCCACAGCAAACACCCGCCACAGCGGACAAGAGACAGTGTTGCATAATTATGCAATTTGGTTATGAGTTGCTGTGCCCAGCAGCCAGGCAGCCAGGCAGCCAATGGTTAGTGCCGTCGATTTTTGGCGATTTAACGGCTGATTTGGCTTTTTTAGTCGATTGGCTCAAATCCTTTTTTAGGCAAATTAACCGCGAGACAAAAAAAAAAAAACAAAAGAAGTTATGAACAGCTAAGCGAAAAAACAAAAATAGAAACACACAAGACAAGACAACACGACGCAAAATTATGAACGTGATTAATTCATAGATGGTGGCGCTTAGCCATTGTTTTTGGCCATGTTAAATGCATTGCACGATCCACGACGCGGGGTCCAGCCGGCCCCGAGGGGCCAACCATGTCGAGCTGGCCTGAGGTTGACATCCACCAGCTGAACTCCAGCCAAAAGCTAAATATGATTATGTGCGCTCGATTTAATCTCAGTCGATTTATAAACACCGCCCCGCACCCCCAACCACGACGCAAGCTCAAGACGTTGCCATACTCGTCGACTAACTGCTGCTTTTTTCCATTTTTTTTTCTTTATAATTTTTTATTGATTTTTACAAACGACATCGCAATAGCACAGCCAGGCAACATATGTGACCAGTTGCTGTGGCTGCCAAGCACATTAAAAATGAAGAGATTTTCCTTGAAAATTATGCCACCATACAAACATGTGTGTGTCTGTGTGTGTGTCTTTGTATTTTGGTCAAAACGACTTTGTGCTCAAAATTGGAAACCAAAATCTGTAAGAAAAAAAAAAAAAAAATGCCACGCAGCAACAGCGTGAGTAAGTCAGACAGACACCCACTTTTCTGATACTCGCACTCGCACTCACACTCATACTCGCACTCTCACTCGCACTCGCACTCATACTCGCAGTTCAGGCGGCTGCTGCATGTAGTTGGCGGATTACGAGTTGCCACGGAGCCACAGCTGGAAGTAGTCAACGGACCAGCGGACAGGCGGACTACACTCGACTACAACAGCAACGACAACAACAACGTTAACGATGACAAAAAATTGGCTACTTAATTTGGTAATAACAATAATTACGCCTGACTGACTAA